TGAGCACTGTAAGCAATGACTCAGCGAAACGGCAGCTGACGTTTGGAACCATGAATGAAGGCCCGTTTCGATCTCACATGTTGCCCCCTTGACCACCATGCTGCGGTTTCTACAGGGGTAATGTAATACATCTTCGTTCTTGAGACGAGCCGTTGTCTGACCAAAGGCCAACTACACGCAGATAGCGACGGATACCGGTGCTCTATAAATACCTGCCGCTCGTCCCAAGTAACAAGCATGGTAATCAAAACCGCCAGAGACGACCCAAACAAAATAAATCATCACAATACAACACCATGGCAGGCCAGCTCCCCCCTTTGAAGCGATACATCACAACCCACGACCCCGCCACTGGCAAGGCCGTCTACAGCACCGCATTCCCCACAACCCTCGAGCCCGACACCTCCCTGCCAACCCTCAAGCTCTACAGCTGCTTTACAACAACAGGCTTCCCCGTCGACACCTCCGCCGACGCCGACCTCGAAGCCTACAGGCCCAACATGGCCTCCATGCCCTCCTTCGACCTGCCCAACGGCACCGTCTGCCGCGTCACCGATTTCGCCCCGGGCACGCCCCCCATCATGCACCGCACCGTCAGCATCGACTTTGGCGTCGTGCTCGAGGGCAAGGTCGAGGCGGTGCTCGACGGCGGGGAGACGCGGCTGCTGGAGAGGGGGGACGTGGTCGTGCAGCGGGGCACCATGCATGCGTGGAGGAACGCGAGCGAGACGGAGGTCGCGAGGATGTTCTTCGTCCTGCAGCCTATTAGGCCTATTGTGGTACAAGGCGAGGAGCTTGGGGTTTATGTTCCGGTACACGAGCTGTTTCCTGATGGGGACGTCCCGGTGTCGACGGCTGTGACGGAGGGCTGAGGAACCATGTAAAAGGGAATCCTCCGACTTACCTGGGGTGAGTATTTGGAGCACCTTGACGGAAGCAGTCGCTTGACGATGCGGGCAGGACCAGGATTATCGTGGAGAATAGCACCAGAGACCTTCAAACTAGACAGGCAAAATGGGGGATGACAGTGGCGGAACTACGCTACGGCTCTCACCGTCGATACCGCGAAGAAATCCTGCATGTGATCAAACTTCTAAACGTACGGGATAATATTTAAACCCCAGGAGCATCCTGCTGCTTTGTGTCTTGTGATCAATGGGACTACAAAACCTCAAATATCAGCACCATTACTTGGCTCGTCTCCATATGTGCTACGCCGTTTTCTTGATCTCGCCCTCATGACCAGTCAGTATAGTCACAGCCAGATATACCGGGCTGGTTCGTATCCGCCTTGATGGAGTGTTTGGATTTGGAGATTTCGGATTGAACCCAAGTTCCGGATAGAATTCAGTATATATATTGTGTATTGCGCAACTCGACCATTACTCCTACCATCGACATTCGAGGGTCGACTCTTCCGCAGCAACACAGTTCTTGACAGGGCTCCTCCGCTTTAGGCTAAGGATATCATGGCCACCATCTCTTCGTCTTGGTTCACCCGAACCAGTACAGGTGACGACTCCAGCGATACGACATCGGCCAGGGACGAACGGCAACTCATGACGGCGCTATATGATGGTCGTCTCGCGTTCCATCAAGTAGAAGACCCAAGCGTCTACCTACCTCTTTGCTGTGCGCTACAAAGAATCAGTCTACCCTCCCCTGACCGGACAATGGCTCATAGCAATCCGCCTCCCCTCCCCATTTCCGCAGAGCTCGCGATCCCTCCTCCCCCAACTCCTCCTCCTCCAGCCCCGCCCCCAGCAGCTGCAACGTAGTCGCCGCATCCCACGGCCCCTCCCTATGCCTCGTCTCCCTCAAGATCCGCAGCACCGTCGCCCTAACACTAGGAACCGTGCTGTACACGTACGTCCAGTACATGGGCCCAATGATGGCCGTCTCGAGCGAGAAGTCAGGCGGCGGATCCCCCGGCCGGCCCGCGCACACCTCGTGCATGGCGGCGCCGTACTCGGCCATGGGCGTGATGAACTCGTCCTGAAACCGGGGAGCGTGCGCGATGGGCTCGTGCGAGTCCTGCGCGAAGGGCATCAGCTCGACCACGGCGCGGACGCTCGTCACGTGGAGCATGTCCATGCAGGAGCTGTAGTAGTCCCAGGTCCCGCGGGCCGGGGCGTCGGGGCCCGCGAGAAAGGCCTCGACTGATCGAGAGATGGCCAGGCCGCGCTGGCGGAGGGTGGCGAGCTCGGACTGCAGCTCGGGGGAGGACCAGAAGTGGGCGTCGCCTTTGCGGTGGCGCAGTTCCCAGTCGCGGGACATGATGTCGCTGGCGAGCTCAATTCTCGCTTCGTGGCACTGCTGGAGGCTGGAGGTTGTGAGGGTCGCCGCTGTTGTTTCTCCGCGGCTGGATCGAGCGAGGCGGTAGAATCTACTGCCCAGCGTCATCGGGACGTCGGCCGAGAAGCAGTGGATGCAGACCTCCGTGTTGCGGAACTGGATCACGATGTCCCGCAAATCGGCGTCCGAGACGTCCGCGCTCTTGGCCACAGGGGCTGAAGAACGAGTGCGGGTGCGCAGGCGCCTCAGGTCGACCGACGACTCGATTACGCGCAGGCCATTCTGGAGATGGGTAATGGCAGCACGGTAGTTTGCACGCAGGCTCTCGAGGCAGATGAAGGCGAGGCAGCACACGAGCGTCAGGGTGGTGCTCTCGCCGCTCCGCTCGCCTGGCCGCTCCGCGAGACGCCGGCATAGGATGGCGATGGCCTTGTTGTACTGCTGGATCACAAAGACGTCTAGGCGGTCGGCCAAGAAGGTCCCCCTGCCCGTCGTCGGGTTAGACCGCTCATGGACCGTGACTCTATACAGCTGGTGGGCGGCGCCGAGGGCCACGAGGGCATGCTTGACCGCCTCGTCGTGGTGGCTGAGCTGGGGCGCCAGCCGCGTCCAGAAGGACGATACGTTGCAGACATGTAGCGCCACGCCGCCTTCGGTGGCTCGCCTGCAGTTGAAGAAGAAGCGCCGCTCGGCCTCTGTGCCGTCGATGCTAGTGGACAGTGGTCGAATGGACAGTGGTCGAATGGCGAGTGATGAGGAGCCCGCTCGCGCTCCTACGCCATCCATGTTGACCATGCGGATCATCGTCTCGTAGCCATCGCATACCCTGCCGGTGGAGACGCATTTCTTGCAGCTTGGCTTTCCCTCGTCGCATTTGATCCGTCGTATTCTAGGGGGGAGCACTAGTTAGCCAACCATCACCGTTAAGGATACGGATACAATTCAGTCGGGCTCGCAGCTCACTTGCTACAGCACTCTCTTGTCAGCGGCCCGGATAATCATCATGGGAGAAGGGAAGGGGAGAGAAGCTGATTGATTGGTTTCGGCGCACAACGTACCAGGTTATGCACCCAGTTCTAACCTTGGGCCTGCTGGGTCGTCCTCGAGGCATACTTCCTTGGCGTCGCGGATTGGATGCTGCGCAAAAGACCCCCGAATAGGGAAGAAGTGCATGCCAGCACCCGCGTCCTCGGATGCCGATGGTTGTCGGGGATTACGGGTTTTATCATGAGCCGCCTGCCACGACCAAGGGCATCTTGACCAATATCGCGGATATCATGACAAACGGTGGCGTTGTCTGTTTGCTCCTCCTATTGGCCTGTTCGGATCGCCACCCTTGTTTAGGTAAAGTTTTGAAGGATCAGGGCGACTGATACATGGGCATCCCCGTACACGCGCATCCCCCCTGCTTAGTAAGTGTCACCTACTATGAGATTGGCTTATGGATGTGGGTCAGCAACACCACTAGAATTTTCCTCCTTTCTGCTGACTGCCCTGTAAGTCCTCCATTACAACAATTACAATGTAATAGTTATGCTATACTGCTGTACTAGGGGGTAAAAGATTGGTTAATAATTACTATAGTAGTAATTATCTGGGTATATTATTATACTATAAAGCCTCTCTTACTATTTAGTAAATTAAGCTATAATATAATATTTCTTTTTATTAAAACTAGTTTTTAGCTATTTAATTTTAAGCTAGAAGATTTTTTATTTAATATATAGCTAACTTCTAAGAAAATTCTATAATAGCTTTATATATAAAAAATAACTTTAATTTTATATTTTTTAATATATATAAAAGCTAGAAATTTTTATAAGCTTAAAATTTAATTTTAAATATAAAATTAAATTAAAAATTTATTATATTTAGTTTTTTTTAATTTTACTTAATATTATTAAATAAATTAAAATTATATAGTAATTTTAAATAATAAAAATAAATAATAAATATTTTACTTAATATTAAAAAAAAAATTAAATAATAAAATTATTATTTTTTAATTTTTATTTAATTTTTTTATTTAATTTTTTTATTTTAATTTTTTTATTTATAATTAATAATTTTATTATTTATAATTAAGAATTTTAAAATAGTAATTTTATTTTAAATAAAAAATATAAAAAAAATTAATATTTTTTTTAATATTTATTTTATTATAATTAATTTTTAATATAATAAATTTTATTTAAATAGTTTTTTTTAAAAAACTTTTATTATATTTATATTATAAATTTTAATTTTAATATATTTTTAAATTTTTAAAAAATTTAAAAAATAAAAAAAAGATTTAAATTTTCTTAAAAAATTTTTTTATTTAAGTTATTATTATATTATTTATAATATTTAAATATTTTACGAATCTAATTTATTAATTAAGCTTAAAATAATAAGTTAATTAGTTTTTAACTTAGTTAGTTTTTAAAAGTAAATTAATTAACTTACTATAAAAAGCTAATTATAATATATATTTTATACTAGAAAAATAAATAACTTTTTCTATTTAGAGGAATAGAAAATTAAAAGATTAAAAGATTAAAATATAAATTATAAGAAATAGCTTAAGATATTATTATTATTAATATAGACTTAAAGTTATATTATACTCTATAATAACCTTATAGATATTTATTTATTTAGTATACGCTATTTTACCTATATCTAGGCCTATAGAACTCCTTCAACTAATTCAGAGAGGAAAAACCTTCTACCCATCTAGCTATAGGATAAAAACCTCGCTGCGATTTCGCTCTGCTACCTCAAAGGGCTCGTTGTTGTCGTCAGGTCTGTACTGGTAAACTCGTCACCAGCCTTGTCCAGGTTGCATAGTATGCATTTGCCCGCCTTCCGGTCTCGGCTTCCTCTGGGTCGTAGAGGAGCCGTCGGGGGGTTGTGTGCGAGATCGCAGCGACCGGTGCTGCGACCCGCCTGGTTCGCCTTCTTCGTGATCGCTTCGGCAGCGCTGCGTCTGCCCTTCCTGGTGCGGACCTCCGGATGACCTTGCGGTGGCCCCCCGGGCCGCCGTCGGCATCACGGAGTTCGGCCTTTCCTTCTTCCGGTCACGTGACCCTTGTGTGCCGGCGCGTGTGTGGGTGCCGGGCCCGCGCAGCCGTTCGCTCGGGATCCCGGCCCCACAATTTCCGGAGCTGGTTCGCCCTGCTGCGTCGCAGGGCGGGCCCTGCGTTGCCTCGGCGGTCTCTATTCTCACCTTTTCCTCACTTTCGGTTCAGGCTCTCGATGGCTTCGAACGCGCCTCTGTCCTCGCGCCCCTTAGGGCTTAAGGATTCGGGGCCTGCCTAAGGCTTTTCCGAGCCCTATAAAAAGCCCCTTCCCCTCCGTTTCTTCCTTCCCTTTTTCCTTTCTTCCTTATCATTCCCCCGCCGCCGCCCCCGCCGCGGCTGTCTCTTGTGAGTCTCCCTCCTTCCCCCTTTGTGGTCTCTGCGCTGTCGCTGGGTCCTCGCTGACTTGTGGAAAGTCGTTTTTTTCCTTCTCGCTTCCCGCCTGGTTGCCGCTTCGATTACGTCTCGATTTCGCCACGATGCCTCCCCGCACGACCCCCGAGGAGCGGAAGGCGAAGGCTGCAGCCCGTCGCCGTGAGAAAGCCGCCCAGAAGAAGGCTGAGAAGAAGGCCCGCGACGAGGCCGCTGCGGCTGCCCCGGCTTCCCCCGCCGACGATGAGGAGGAGGAGGAGGAGGGGGAGGAGGAGGAGGAGGTTGTCGTCACTCCCCTCAAGCGTCCTTCCGGCGGTGCCGCTGCGGGTGCGGCCAAGGGTTCGAAGAGACCCAAGCCCGACACCCCTTCGCCTCGTCCTGCTCTGGAAGTGCCCGACAAGCCGCCGTCCCTCCTGGTTGATGTAGAGAAAGTCTTCTTTGCCGAGGTGAGTACTCTGCGGTGTCTCTGCGGTGTCCCTGCTAATCTGTTCTGTAGAAAGTTGGTGGTTACCGACCCATTCCCTGCACCCGCTGCGCTCGGTCAATGGTTTTGGCCAGTGCTCCTGGTCGTTTCTGCTTTGCCTACGGTGCGTTATCTCTGCGTCGGCTCTGCGGTCTCTCTTCCTTTGGTATTGACTCTCGACTAGGATCCAGTGGCCGCTGCGCCCACTGTGTGAAGGGGAAGCATGTTTGCGGTTCGGTGAGTAGCCCCTGCGGTACCTCTGAGTCCCTGTTAACCCTTCCTAGATTTCTTCTCACTCTGCCGACCTCGTCGCTCCCGCCCGTGCTATGTCCATGGCCCACCTGGCCTGGTATCACGCTTGCCGGGAGGCGGGCACGACCCTCAGCCGCGTAGGTACCTCTGCGGTTTCTTGGGGATCTTGCTAATTTGGTGTAGTCCGACGATGTAAACAAGACCGAGGAGATTTTCAGCCGTCGCGACCAGCGGGCTATCGCTGCGGCCTCTGCTGCGGGTGGGTCGAAGAACAAGGTGGTCGCTGGGTTGGCCCTGGGGCCCTCGGCGGTGGCTCTGCGGCTGCTAAGACCAACCGTCTCCTTCGCCGCCTTGTCGTCCTTGGTGAGGCCTTGCTCAACGCCGCCTCTGTTGAGGTTCCTTCGGATGTGGAGGACGATGACAGTGTTATTGGCTAGTGGATATCTTGACGGTATCGCTTCGGCTTCGGCCTTATGCCCTTCATAGGCACCCTTCCTCATAGGCTTAGTTCCTTCACGGGGCGACTTTCGTCCACGTCTCAATCAATCAGTCCGGGTGGTTACCCGCGCGTTATCGCTGAGATCTCGTTCCTCCCTCGTCTGCCTCTTGTGCCTCCCATTTTTTCTGTAGGGCTATTGCCAGTCTGAACTGTGTGGGACGGACCGTCTTACTGTACCAGATTGCCGCTGCGGGTGCGGTGCGTTGTCGCCGAGGTAGCGTCCCACATCCCTGCGGTCCCGTGGTTTGGGCTCCGGGAGGAGGGTCTTGTCGTAGAGCGTGCAGTAGGTGAAGACATGCTCTACGGTTTGCCTACCATTGCCGCAGGGGCACCGTGGCGATGTCACCTCGGGGACTCTTCTGCTGAAGAGGAAGGCTTGAAGGCCTATGCATCCCGTTCGTAATTGGATGATTAGGCTGTTGATATATCTTGGTTGGCTCCCGTGTAGTGTCCTGTGGTCCATTCGAAGGGGGATCTGTCTGAGATGCTGGTGTCGTCGCGGCCCCTCTGCGTCCTCCGTTTTGCTGCCTCGGCTGTCCATCGTGCTTTCCAGTCT